TTCAGGATTTAATGAATCAATATCGCTTTATTCAAGCTACTCACCTCTCTCTATCCACCTGCACTTTCAACTGGACCACGGCCAATCAGAGAGGTCCCGCCCCTGACTATCTCTGACTGGTTTAGTCCACAATAGGGGCAAAATGTGTGTCTGTTGTTGACCACACGGAGAGTTGCAGAAATCTTTTATTTTTTTTGCTACCCGAACAGTGCGACCAAAGATTTTTTTTAGTCGCACCATTGAAAAATTTGGTCGCATTTGAGTCAGGTCGACCAGTGGTTCACCAGACCGAGAAACTGGAGTCAGAAAATTATTTTTCCTTATGTGGCTGAGTGTACTGAGTGGTGCAATCAGCTGATGTGATCAGTACTATATTATGCAATAAAATAATGTCTCTCTTCCCAAGCACATCCAGACAGTTTACAACATAATTCAGTTCAGTTCAATTCAGTAATAATTGAATAATGTAAATACTTGCTAACAACTGGCCGAGCAGGCTAATAGTTTAAAAAGTGCAAGAATTCAATTCAATTCAATTTTATTTATACAGCGCTAAATCATAACAACAGTCGCCTCAAGGTGTTTTATATTGTAAGGTAGACCCTACAACAGGGGTCTCAAACTCGTGGCTTGGGGGCCATTTGCGTCCCACGTCACCCCTACTTGCGGCTCATATATTGACATGAAGAAATAAAATGCAATTTGGGCAATCGTGGCCCAAGAGTTGGCAGTTCGTCTTGTAATTGGAAGGTTTGAGCCACGACTCCGACAGTCTCGGTTGCCTTGAGCAAGACACTTCATCTGTTGCCTACTGGTGGTGGTCAGAGGGCCTGGTGGCGCCAGTGTCCGGCAGCCTTGCTTCTGTCAGTGCAGGGCAGCTTTGGCTACAATGTAGCTTGTCATCACCAGTGTGGCAATGGGTGATTGACTCAATTTAGTGTAAATCGCTTTGGGGTCCATAGGGACTAAGTAAAAGCGCTATACAAATACAGGCCATTTACCATTTTGTTGTTGAGTGCTGTTGATAATTTGCAGTGCCTCAATAATGCTATGCTTTTTATTAATTGGTGTTATAAAGTCATATAGTATAGTATTAAGTGGACACAGCCCTGAAAAATAAAGCCATTAGACTATGTGTCACTGGGGAGCAGAAAGCTGTAGACTCTCGCTCACGCTTGCCTGGGAAAAAGTAGATGAGAGGGGACCATTTCTAGTGGAAAGTTACTGAGACACTATTGTTTAGACCAAATTAGGGTGCCCAGTATTAAAACTGTGAGGGGGACACCACCATTTTGAGATCCGCAGCAACATGTCATGCAGGACGCATATCCCTTCCAGAAGTATTGTGAAAGAGAAATAAAGTGTTAAATGGTACTGAGCAGTGTTTTGTCTTCCATCGGATACTTCTGAGGAATCAAAAGAACTTGTTGTTAAATGCTGAGTTTATCCACTACTGACAAACAAAC